AATCATATAGACAAAGGAAACAATTGGTAGACAAATGAATCAAGTGATTTTCTTCATAACATTGTATATAGCCCTGTAAGTGCAAAATGAATTTTGTCGTAATACTGTGTTCTGTGGTTGGCAATATAATAGGTCAACAACAGTAATTTCCAGGTTAAATAAAAGGTCGCCATAATTTTTTAAATGAATATATGCTATACTAGACCAAAAGTTTCCAACTTTCTTGGAGTAAGGCACTATCAGTGGCTCAATAATTTTTCATGGTACCCTTAAGACAAAAGAAATATCCAACCACTCAATTTTATTAAGTAGTAAAGTCCAAACAACTTAATTATGGTAGTTTACATAGTGACTGATAGATACTTCCGTATTTTCTTTGAAATTTAAAAATAACCCTTGTGCCCCTACAAATTAGCTACAGCATCCTGGGAACTTTGGGACACAGTTTGGGAACCATGGCACTAAGCACATGCCCTCCATGGGGCAAGACTGTATCTATAGTTTATGTGACACATTCAATTTGACACTTTGGGCTAAACTATCGTCAGCTCTTTTACAACTGTTTATTTTATACAATATATAGAAAATGGGTTATTTTATTGGATTTTGTCTTTCCTGCAGGTTTTTTTATTTCCACATAAAATGTCCCCTGGTCAAAATTTCTAAAGCATCCTACAATTATATGACTGGAAAGTGTACATCTAAACAGAAAGTAGGACTGCAGTCATCAGTAATAAGAAAAGCATCCACTCCTCTCATTTCTGTCTGTAAATTATATGCTCTGAAGGGACAGCACTTAACCTGAGAGTAGGGTGGGAGGAAGCTGTATGTTACAAAAAGAGGACGGGAGTTGGAGATAAAGTAATACTGAACAAATTTATGCCCTTCAACCCCCTTATCTCAAAAGTCTCTCTCAAGTCTAAAATGTTGGCCTAACACCAACACGTACATTCAGAATTATTTTCCTCCCTTTAAAGTAGAATTTTTTCTAAGATGAGCAAATTCAAAAGAGGTAACTTCCCGACAATGTAAAACTGGTTTGCAGGTGTCAAAGGCGTTTTATATTTTATTTCAAAAATATGTACCTGACGCAAGCTTCACAGCTCACAGGTTGAAGTCTTGGGTTAACAGGTTAGGATTCTACTCGGACTTTCCAGCAGAGGCAACTGGACTGTGTCCTTGGACTATTCAATCCCCCACCGTGTACTTGAACTGATTCATATGTACACCCAGTTATTTCATAATCCAGAATTGGAGCCTTAGCTACTCAGTTTCTCAAAATTATTTAAAGGGCTGTAATGATTGTTTTCTGATTAAAATGAGCCATTATCCAGAAATATAATTTAGAATTGGGATTTATAATTATGTTTTATAAAATATGGGGTGTATTTACATATAGCAACCTAGCTGACAGTTATAATAGAACTGCCAAGTTAAAAATACAGATTTGACTAATTTTTTTCCCTGAATAAATTGATCTCTGAATGAAGTAAACTGATTAAACCAGTTTTTACCTAATTATTTTCAAGTTCTCTAAATATTGTGTGTATGCATGTTTGTGTGTTTGTGTGTGTATGTAGATATATATATATATATATATATATATATATATATATATATATATATATATATATATATATATATATATATATATATATATATATATATATATATATATATATATATATATATATATATATATATATATATATATATATATATATATATATATATATATATATATGTATATATATCATGCAATTCAATAATACATTATTCTCACTTCTCAGGAGTTTGCAAATATTTTTAGATTTTAAGAAATAAGTAGAAAAAGCAATAAGTAGATATGTGTCCATGAAGACACGTGGTTTTATGCTTGATTTCATTAATGCCAAATGCCAAAACAGAATCTGAGATTCTGGTAAAAAAAATATCAATAGTAAACTGGGGTACACATTCATGGATAATAGTGGACTACAACGTTCCTTAAAACTTCTTTTCTATTTAGCCCATTTGCTCTGAAGTCTCTGGCTGTGTTAGTATTACTTTATTCTTATGCTGCTTAATGGTATGCATTCTAGTAGTTAAGAAAGATCCAGCATTTTGTATCTCCATTCCACACCATATTTCTATCACTATTATTTATTAAAAGAAAAATATCTTTATACCCAACTAAAAGCTTCTTTTTCAGAAAACAGGCAATGTTAACTCAATCTACAATGGTTAGATTCCTCAACCTGTGTATTTATTTTTCCCTTTTAGGAACACTTAAAGATTCTTGTTTAGTTCCAGAGATTTTTAATTTATTTTATATATTTATCAATACACATAGTGTAAACAGGAATATTTATCATCAACCTTTTTTCTATTTATAATAAACAGATAGAGAAAATCATCTGTTTTTTAATGGCAACAAATAGTGTACCTTTCATATTTAATTGAAATTAAAATCAAGATGGATTGGCCCATCTCTTTCACGGAGAACTACATAATACCACTCAAAACAGGCAACCAGAGAAGTCACAACTGGTAGACAATTATGGGGGGAATAGAATAGGAAGTCCCACTAAAGAGAGAAGATAATAGTTTTTCCCTACCTCTATTCCTTTCCTACAATGTGATTAGGGAGGAAACGGTCCAGACTATTTACCACTTCTACTCAGCTCCTCATTCAAACTGACTCAAAGTGCCAGAATGTCAAAAAGGGTGGCAATTTCTTTTGCTACTGGCTTCTGCTTAGTTCTACAGTTTGGCATGAAACCAGTTTCAAGCTTGCCAGCAGCTGAAGAAGCTTTATTCTATTTTATTTCCAAGGTTCCAAAAGAAGTGGTATCATTTATAACTTTAAGTAGTGAAGGTATGAATATCAAAGGGTTAATATACTAACAACTTTAGAAAGGGAAAATTTTCTCCATGCCACATTACATTAACACTGAACAAATTTAATATGCCAACTCTGTCAAATGGAAGTGAGAGGCAGAGTTATTATTGACCTTTTCCAGGCCTACAGTTATGCTATTGTTCATACTCAGTGTGGTTTTTCTCTTCACCACAATATTTGCTAATGGGACTTACTTCTGCAGTTGCTTTAAAAAACTTTTTTTTTTTTTTTTTTGAAAAACGGCAGAACTGGTCTATATGTATATGCTGCAGGTGCAGTCAGAAGCAACTAATGATTTTAAAAAGTGTATTTTTTTTTCATGTTAGTAACCAAGGTTACCAAAAACACATTGGCAACATGCGTTTAATGTGAAAAGTAATTTCTTAGGATAATAGAACCAAAACAAGAAACTTTTATGATTCAAAACTCAGAATTCTGTGTAGCAACAGAATTTAAAATACTATTCTTCAAATTTATTCTCAGAATTTAAAATATTTAGAATAAATACAGTCATTAATCATGAAAGAAATTTGGTGTGTCTGGATGAGTCGATGATCTACAAAGGTAGAATGATGTGGCAAATAATATTAAATGAGTAAGTTAAGGGTCCAGAGTGAGAACACCATTTTAAAACATAGGAAACCAAAATCAAGAGAAAGATCTGTAAAAACCTCAAAGAGCAAAATACCGTACAAGTACACATTTTTACAGCCCTGAGTTCAGATCACTTTTATCTGAATATCACAACTGCAATCTACCCATCTCAATTGGCTCCGTATAATTAAAACAATTACATCCCATTTCTTCGATATGATATGGAAAAAGGTTTAAAGACTAGAAATAAATTTTGAAATCCCAGATGTGAAAATTCACATCACCTAATAGGAAACCTAGAACTGACTTCTAGTAATGTTGGACAGCATATCCCCAATGCAATAAATACCAATGCATAGCAAGATGCTAATGGGAAAATTTATCAACACATATATGTGTCGGAATCCAATGGAATTTAAAAATAATATTCTATATAAAATTAAAAATAACATTAATTTTTTTCAGTGGAGCTCTACTTTTATCATTAAAGTGTTTCAATAAACTTGCTTTTTCTATATTCTTTCTGGCCATGGTAATGATGTTCCAGAACATATTAGCTTAGCAGTCTAGCCCTTCTTTACAATATGATTTACTATTTTTATCTAATAGAATACAGTTGGCATTCTGGCTATTTAAATTTTTTTAAGTAAAGTATTAGTTTGTTTCCCAGACTAACAATGTGTGATTTAGATTTGGGTAAAAAAGAGAAAAAAAGCATACAATCACAGGCGTCTAAATTTAATAAGCAATATAAACAGGTATCTTGGCATAACATCACAGTGCAAAACTGTCCTCTATATTGCTTGTAATGAGTGTTCATTCATTCATTCATTCAATAAATTGGTGAATTTTGTACTAAGAAATTGAGATATAACAATGAATAAGATAAAATCAGCAACTGCCCTCATAAGGCTTACAATTAAAGTGAAAGAGAAAATACACAGGATCTAAAGGAGGCAAGAGAAAGTGACTTAACTTAGGTTAGGCAAATGCTCCCTGATCTGAGTTGGAAGAGGTTCAGAATACCAAAGAGAGTGAACACTGACAATACAAGTCAAGAGTCAGGAAAGAGTATGGTTTGGTCTAAGAACTAAAAGAAAATCAGTGAAAAATTAGGCTGTAAATATAGGGAGGAGACAAATATTGAAAGGCCATCTAATTCACACCAGGAAATTTGGGTTTCTCTTACCGGGCACCGAAAATTTATTGAAAAGCAGATTCCTGTCTTATTTATGCAAAAAATAAAATGAGCCCCCAAATTATATTCATATTTTAAGAATACACTGGGAATAGAAGTTATGAAACCAAATTTCAAAGGGCAAATATTGGTTTCAGAAGCACAAAGTAATCTAAGCTTTTAAAAATGCCAACACAAATCCTTTCCCACACCTTCTGTGTGTTTCCTCTTTAAAATAAAAATGCTATATGGGTGATGTCATTTCTTGGTGTGGCAGTAATATTAAATTGCCTAATTTAAACCCATTCCCATCCACCCATTCCTAAATGAAAAATCAATGGTACTTACTACATCCAGCCTTATAGCTGAAGCCTGGAGGAAGGAGGAATCCTTGCTGGGCAGCTGCAGCCAGTGTCCGTTGATCAGGAGGGAATACAGGAATCATTAATGGCGGCAGCTGACCTTGAACCTGCTGAATGTGATAAAGCGAATCAAAGAGAAGAAGTTCTGGTGCTCCATGCTTCCCACCCTCCTTATCTCATGATAAAAGAAAATCATTTATTCAGTACAAAATACTGGCATAAAAACTTGCTAGAACACTGGGCTTAAGGCTGTGCCTTGAAACTGCTTTAGACAGGAGAACCAGAAAATCCTAGAGTTGAATGTTATTTATTGTTCAACCTCTAACCTGATGAATACTTTTCTACATGATATCCTTGACAGCGATGAAAACATCACTACTTTGCATGACATGCCTTTTTCTCAGTGTACTAATTTAATAGTTACATTATTCAACGCAAAGAACTGAAATCTCCCTCTGTAAATTCCACCTGTTAGGACTAATTCTACCTTCTAAAACAAAATTAACTTAACCTGTACCATTTTACATCTTTTGTATCTTCATAATTTGATGATAAATTCTCATGTTTACATGTAATACAGAAATTTTAAAATTCATGAATAATAGACCTGAAAGCAAACTTAGAGAACAACTAAAACTTTCCTGTTTCTTTACAGAAACTAAAACTTTCCTGTTTATTTACAGAAGAGATAACTAATGCCAAAACAGAAATGATTTGCCCACGGACACAGAATTAGTCACAACTGTGTCTACAACTAAAACTTTCCTGTTTCTTTACAGAAGAGGTAACTAATGCCAAAACAGAAATGATTTGCCCACGGACACAGAATTAGTCACAACTGTGTCTAAAATCCAGTGCCTTGAATCCTGTTACAGCCTCTCTGCCTAATACTTTTATCAGTGTCCATTCTTTATGAAGCATTTGAACCATTCCTCAAACTACATGGCCTCTGTGTGGGCTGCCATCTTTGGAATACACTCTAATTTGCTCGTGTGACTCTCAGAGGTATGAGGTTCACATAAGTTAACCAAGCACAATGGAATCACTATCTTTATTGAACCAAATAGGAATTTCTAGAAATATAACCTAATGTAGTCATTTCTGTGGATATATCGCATTACTGACTAAGACAGAGTTTGTCATTAACTAAAATACCTAGGATTTTTTTTTTCATCAATGTTTAAGCAAGATATCCCTGGTAAACATGATTATTTGTTAGTATTTGTCACTGGATATATAAATGAGAATTTAGGATCATGTTAAAAATCACATATCTGATACTTTACTGTCCTTCACTAATCCTTCCACACACTATTTCAGTTATTCGAAAAATATTTAGTAAATACCGACTATGTGAATGAAACTGAGCTAAGCAGCAGAAATATAGTAGTCAACATGAAAAACTATGTCCGACATCCGTGAAACTTTGATTATAGTGGGGATGATGGTAAAGAAAAAAAAAAGCAAAACAAACACAAAAATAATTACAAATTCATTCAGTCACTAATCCTAATGGCACCACTGAAATATCTCAGACCTGTTTTCCCATTTTCCCATTGGCATTACACACTGCTAGGGCTCTTATTATTGTTATAGTTCTCATAATTTCTTTCTTTAAAAGTCCATCTTCCATTTCTCCTTTAATTCATCTTTTACAGTAAAGCTTCAAGCTATTTTTGAAATTTTGGTTGATGAATGTGGGAGAGGGGGCAGTGGGAACTGAGAGAGGAAGGATGGGAAAGAGTGTGTGTGTGTGTGTGTGTGTGTGTGTGTGAGAGAGAGAGAGAGAGGGGGAGGGAAAGAGAGAGGGGGGAGGAGAGAGAGA